TCCCTGTCACACGTACACGTGTGGCTGCGGGGGCATTTTGCAACGAAGTTTTTAAACGCGCAGGTGCCTGCCACTGACTCAGACCCTCTTCAAGGCCCAGCCACTGCCACGACTTATGCCAGGAAACATTTTCATGGTCTGTTACGTTTATGTCTACTGACATGTGCTGCTGGTTGCCGTGCGTTTGGTACCTGCACGTCAAGAATTTTAGTTGCTGTTTTCTACAGAGCTAGCTACAGAAGTGCAGTTTGGAATCGATCCAGGCTTACCACGTCAAAGTGCTGTCAGTCTAGGGGCAGAACGCTCCCTCCACGCAGCAGACAGAGGTGGTGCTCAGAAGAGCTGTCTTCAGACCTTCCGCACGGATACACCGCACTGCTTCTGCCATTATGGGGAGCTGTTTTATCATCTCATTTCTGATTAAGCAGGAGAGAAAGGAGTCCACTGGAACACAGACATTTGCCTAAGAAACCAGAGAAACCCCAAGAATGATAATTAGCCATAAATGGTTTTTAAGCAGGGAGGAAAATAAGAGTGGTTGGTTCGGCAGGTTGCCTGATCACCTTATCTGGCTGTCCTACTTCCTTCGGCAGCAGAAGGCAGTCAGTGAATCTCCCAGCTAAATTGCTTAGACCAAATCAACAAGCGATCTCACATTACTAATTCTACAGAAGCAGCAGCAGAGACAAAGGGCTGATTTGGGGAAAGAGAAATCTGGGAACAAGAAACGCGCTAGGACTGTGCCTGCCATGGAATCAAGGCAGGTTAAACACTGCTTTACCATTCAGCGGGCAGGAAAGCAATCTGCATTTGAGACTGAGCTGTTGCCAAAAGACTTTATTCAAACGAGGATTCTTGCACTGCGTTCCTGGAGCTGTCGTGGAGGGGCTTCTACTGATCTTAAGAACCCTCCCTGGAGACCACGGCCTCCATCCAGCGGGCGCGCCCAGGTACGAACTAGCAGCAAAAGCCTTTCTGCTGGTCTCTGACTCTCTGACTTCTCATCTCAGCTGATCCTAGAGGTGTCTTGAAATAAAAAGGCTATGAAATATGCAGGAAGAGGCTGGTGGAAGCGAAGGCGAATTCAGCTGACCATCCTGCCTGGGTACCAGAGCAACGATGGCAGTGAAAAGCCTGCCCTGATCGGACAGCGATGCTTCCTAGATGGTAAATCCAGACCCTTCCATCACAGGACTTCTTTGGAAAGCCCCTCCTTCCTCACTGAACCACCAGGTTCTCACACAGAACAGGCCTGTTGGAGCTGGGCCAGAGGAGGCCCCAGCAATGATCCGGGGGCTGGAACCCCTCTGCTGGGAGGAGAGGCTGGGAGAGCTGGGGCTGCTCAGCCTGGAGAGGAGAAGGCTGCAGAGAGAGCTTAGTGCCCCTTCCAGTACTGAAAGAGGGCTTGTAAGAAAGATGGGGACAGGCTTTTTATCAGGGCCTGCTGCGACAGGACAAGGGGTGATGGGTTTAAACGAAAAGAGCGGAGATTTAGGCTGGATATAAGGAAGAAATTCTTCACCATGAGGGCGGTGGGGCCCTGGCACAGGTTGCCCAGAGAGGTTGAGGATGCCCCATCGCTGGGAACATCCCAGGCCAGGCTGAACGGGGCTCTGAGCAGCCTGACCCAGGTGAAGACGTCCCTGCTTATGGCAAAGGGTTGGACTGGGTGGCCTGGAAAGCTCCAATCCCACACAGACCATTCTCCGACTCTTCTTTCCATGGCCGGGCTGCCTTTTAGTTTCTTTTACTGAAGCAGCAACATGGCAAAGGGTTGGACGGGGTGGCCTGGAAAGCTCCAATCCCACACAGACCATTCTCCGACTCTTCTTTCCATGGCCGGGCTGCCTTTTAGTTTCTTTTACTGAAGCATCAACCATACCAAAGCCCTGGCACGGCCCTGAGCTGCAAGATACCAGCGTGGTGGGTGTGAGGGGAATAGAAAAAAAGGTGGTTTTCTGGGGGGGGGGGTTGGGGTGGGGGGGGGGGGTTGGCTTAAGG